TGGAGTTTTAAGATTAGCTAATTTAAGCTTTTTTTATTTACCTGGATTTTTTTTATTTAAACTTTTTTATTTTATTTTTTTAAGTTTTTTTTTTATTTTAGGTTTTTTTTTTATTTAAGTTTTTTTTTTTATTTAAATTTTTTTTATTTAAGTCTTGTTTTTATTAATTTTTTATTTTTATTAAATTATCTATATAGGCGCATTATAAAAAATTTTTTTGCACAGACCGTATAGAAGCTTTTGATTTTTTTTTGGAATCTGGTGACCCCCCTGAAGAAATAACTATCAAAGATGCGATTGATTTTACAGCTGCTGCATGGAAAGAAGTAACCTCAAGTAAGAATTAGAATCCATTTGGTTAGCTACTATGTTTAGTTGACTAATTAATCGACTAAATATAGTAGTTAATTCAATTACTTTTTCAATTAACTAAAATAATTCTCTAATTTTAGGAACGATTCGTAACTGTTGGAGAAAGACTGGCATTTTGCCAGAGGGTTTTCTTAGTGAATTATTTCTGTATGAAGAACCAGACCAAGCCAATGAACCTGACCAATCCAATGAACCTGACATTATTGATGAGATTCAGGATTTGATTATGCGATTGCCCCTCGACCAACCAATGGATGCATACGAATACGTAATTGCTGACAATAACCTTATCACCACTGAAATGCCAACTGATGAAGAAATCATTGAAGCCATCAAGAATCGTGATTGTATTGAGCCAGATAAAGAATCACGAAAACCAATATCACCTGCAAAAGCCTTAAGATTTATCTGTGGGATCCTAACTTTTCTTGAAGAGCAGCCAGATGGAAGTTTTAAAGTTGATGATTCTCTTATTCAGAATTTAGAGAAATTAAAAAAAGAAGTAAATTCGAAACTTGTCGCTTCCAAACGTCAAGCAACCTTGGATACATTCATTTGTAATACGAATTAGACCAATTTTTTTTTAAAAAAAAAAAGTTTTTTTTTTTAAAAAAAAATTTCAATTTTCTTTTTTTTCTTTTAAAAAAAAAAATTTCTTTTTTCTTTTTTTTTTTTAAAAAAAAAATTTTTTTTCTTTTTTTTTTTTTAAAAAAATTTTTTTTTTTTTTTTAAAAAAAATTTACATTTGACTTGAAGCAGAATTAGAAGATTACAAGAGTAGGCGCAGAAGTAATAACAGGTTAAATGAAAACTGATCAGACGGCAATATTCATTTTGCATTTTCATTGAATATAATAGCTTGGAATTGGGCTGACCACTTTGGAAAATTTGAAGGGGTAAATTTCAAACTTTTTTTGCAAGATACAATCAGATTTTTGTGGCCAATTGCAAGTTTTTTTTTTAATTTTAATTATTTTGATAGTAAAATGCTTTAAATCAAATTTTTACAAATAAATTTCAGTTTCCGGGTGCTTTATTTTAATTAAAAAAAAAACATTTCTCTTTGGGTCTGACTTTCCACGGTTTCATAAATGTAATTGTAGTATATGCCGTGATGCCACTAATTGATATCCTGGGAGGATACCAATAGTTTTTTAGCGATTGCTTCATTTATTGATGCCGTAGTGTATATCTAATCTTCATTTAAAGGGTTCCAGGTTAACTTCCCGAAGTTCATTTTTCTGATATACCATTTCACAGAAGTCGTAATACTAACAATCCATTTTACTAACAGGATATAATAGATTCATGTTATTCCACCAACACTCAATTTACCAAGTTTATTTCACCTACAATTACTTCGCCGACAGCTCATTTCACTAACATGTTTTTTTAAGAATTGCACTAACTTTAATTCTAATTCTAAACTAACCCTAACGACAATGACTAGAATTACTTTTCAGTAAAATGACTGTCGGTGAAATAAACTATCTGTGAAATAAACTGTCAGTAAACTAAGTTGTGTCTTGTTAAAAAAAAGGCATTTCGGGAAGGTGACTTCGAGAAAGTGAGCAACAATGCATTTAAGAATGCTTGAGACACAAAGAAATTCAGTTACTGTAGTACTAAAATAATTATAATTAATTGGGTATAATAATATAAAAATTGTAATAGATTTTTGGGTATTTCTCTTGATATAGTGAAGATTTCATATTTTAAATTATTATCTTTACTATATCGAGAGATTTTCAATATAGTGAATCTCTCAATATAGTGAAGAAATTTTTACAGCCCGAGGTCTTCACTATAACGAGAGTGACTTGTATGTAATAAAATTTGAGAAAGCTAAAACCAACTTTGTACATATTAAAAATATTTAATTGATCTGTTAAATAATAAGTATAAAGTAAGTTTGAGAAATTATAATAATAATAGCACAAGTCCTAATTTAAGTACTGACCCAGCGAAGAGAATCTGAAAAAAAAACCTAATTAATTCTGACCCTAACCAAGAGAATTTAAAGTACTGACCCTACCAAAACAAGCTAATTAATATAATGATCTCCCAGCGAAAGTTCAAGTGCTAATTAACGTAACGATCCCGTCCAAGACAATCTTAAAAGTGCAAGTGCTAATTAACGTAACAACCCCATCCAAGACAATCTTAAAAGTGCAAGTGCTAATTAACGTAATGACCCCAGCCAAGACAATCTTGAAAGTACAAGTGCTAATTAATGTAATGAACCCGGCCAAGACAATTTTGAAAGTGCAAGTACTAATTAATGTAATGACCAAGAAAATCTTAAATAACGATCTAAGCTCATCCAATAAAATCTTATAAATTCACGGGACCTTTATGATTCAATGTGGGGCCGTGGAATAATTTTTGATATTTTCATGGGTGATCATTTGTGTGAAAATATCAGTGTGTAGTATCACAGGCGACCATTAGGAGACATGAAATAAAATAAAAAAGTTTAAATAAAAAAAATCCAGGTAAATAAAAAAAGCTTAAATTAGCTAATCTTAAAACTCCA